AACACTCAAAAGCTGAAGGACCAGGCTACAAAGGACATCTTCATTGCAAGCATAAAGGACAAAGCTGAGATACAAATCAACACCAGCGAAAAGGTCAGCGTCGAAAAGCACTGGAACAACTTGAAAACGGTGTGGAGCCAAACCTGCATAGAAATTCTAGGCAGAAAAAAGAGACAGGACAAACAGTGGCTCACTACGGACACTTGGAAACTAATAGAAGAGAGAAGGACAGTGAAGCAAAAGATTATCCAGTGCACTGACGAGCAACAAAAACAGGAGCTGAATGCAAGCTACAATACACTGAACAAAAGAGTGAAGAAAAGTGCCAGGGAAGACAAAAGAAAATATTATGAAACCATGGCAAACGAAGCAGAACAAGCTGCAGGCAAAGGAGACCTCGCCACACTCTACCAAACAACTAGGAACCTTTCGGGCAAACGTTCGACACAGATTAAGCCAATAAAGGACGACAATGGAAAGTCAATCACCAAAGAGGTGGAACAGAGAAAGCACTGGGTTGAACACTTCAAAAGACTTCTAAATCGTCCGCCACCTACAACACGTCCAGCAATACCAACAACGGAAGCAGAACTACCAGTGAACACTGACCCCCCGACGAAATCAGAAGTCCTGAATGCAATCAAGATGCTTAAAGCTGGGAAAACACCGGGACCAGATGGAATCCCAGCAGAGGCTTTGAAAATAGACCCAGAGACAACAGCGGACTTGATGACACCACTGCTGGAGAAGGTGTGGAAAGAGGGCAAAGTACCCGAGGATTGGAAGAACGGATACTTATTCAAACTTCCAAAGAAAGGAGACTTAAGTCAATGTAAAAACTGGCGTGGAATTATGCTTCTGTCCATTCCAAGCAAGATACTAAGTCGCATCATCCTGGAGAGAATCAAACAAGCCCTAGATGAAAAACTTCGTCCGGAACAGGCTGGATTCAGGAGAAACAAATCATGTATTGATCAAATCGCCACTCTACGGATCATCATTGAACAAAGCTTGGAATGGCAGTCACCTCTCTATCTCAACTTCATCGACTTTGAAAAGGCCTTCGACAGCGTCGATCGAGAGGTCATTTGGAAACTACTTCGCTACTACGGGGTCCCATCGACAATTATACACCTCATCCAACAGTTATACGACAATGCTGCATGCCAAGTAATCCACAACGGGAAACTTACGGAAGCCTTCGAAGTGAGGACGGGAGTGAGGCAAGGCTGTCTACTATCACCAATGATCTTCCTGATTGCAATTGATTGGATAATGCGACAGACAACGGCAACCAACGAGGGAACAGGCATAAAATGGACTGACACAAAAGACTTGGAGGATCTGGATTTCGCCGATGATATATGTCTGATTTCCCATAAACTGGAAGATATGCAAGTGAAAAGTAACAAGTTGGCAGAAGAAGCATCAAAGATAGGACTTCACGTGAACATAGATAAAACAGAGATGATGAAGATTCCTAGCCAACATCAACAACAACAACAGACAACAATAAGCATAAATGGGAAGAACCTGAAAGAAACAACCTCCTTCACCTACCTGGGAAGCATCGTCTCAACTACAGGCGGAACTGACGAGGACATCAAAGCCAGAATCGGAAAAGCAAGACAAGCTTTCATTACTCTCAAATCTGTGTGGAGGTCAACAGCACTCAGCATCAAAAATAAGATCCGGATTTTCAACTCCAATGTGAAGTCAGTGCTACTATACGGATCAGAGACTTGGCGAGTCATAAAGAGCATCTCAAACAAACTTCAAACCTTCATTAACAACTGTCTCCGCTCAATACTCAAGATCAGATGGCCAGAAAAGATCAGCAATCTCTGGGAGCGAACCAATCAGGAACCGATTGTGAAACAAATAGGCAGAAAGAAATGGAGATGGATTGGCCATACGCTGAGGAAACCATCAAGTGACATCACTAGACAAGCCCTCGAGTGGAACCCGAAAGGGAGGCGGCGAGTTGGTCGTCCAAGGGTGACTTGGAGGAGGTCATGCGAGGAGGAGATGAAAGCATGTGGACAGACCTGGAGCAGGGTGAAAAAGTTGTCAGAAAACAGAAGGCAATGGAGGTGCGCAGCTGAAGCCCTATGTTCCTCTAGGAACTAAAGGATACAATAATAATAATAATAATAATAATAGTAGCTTTCGCTCCTCATCATAATCGGAGCTCGCCGGAATCAGTCTTCTTGCGTCAATCAGTTCGGATGACGCGGTGGAGATTCAATGGGTTTTACTAACTTTAGGTTTTAGCTTATTAACAGCTTGCACAGTTGTGTCTACAGCTAACTGTATGTTGCGCCAGGCTACCTCAGGGGAAGTCGTACTGTCGACCTCAGATACTCGTTTCACTATTTCTTCCTTATATTAACTCTCAGTGTCTCGATCTAGTTGGGGACGTAACTGTTTCGCTGTCAGCAATTTATGTCCATTTAGTCGTAAGCATAAAGGTGCACGGACGAGAGCGTGATCGGAATATACGCGCGTGTGTCAGAAGGAGCGACAGTCTTCTACTGACCCTCGCCAACGATACCCTATGGCTATGTGGTCTATTTGTGTCCAGCGTTGGTTTGATGATGGGGGTCACCAGGTCAAACAGTGCCTCTACTTGTGTTTGAAGTCAGTGCTGATTAGGAACAGGTGATTATCTGAACAGAACTGTAGGAGTCGATCACCGTTGTCGGCTCGCTGGCACGGAACTCCATAGGTGCCACCGACATCCTTCTCAGACTGACACAGTTTCCCTACTTGAGCATTAAAGTCACCAGCTAGAACGACTATATCTGAGCGTTTAGCCTTTCGCAACAAACTAGACAGCTTTTGGTAGAACTCATCCTTCGTTTCATCCGAACTGCAGTCAGTGGGGGCGTAGGCGGAGATTACGAAAAGGCATCGGCGAGTAGTGCAGTCCTTCCTCCTTTTTACTGATCCGTTCAGACGGACAGCACACATTCGGCTATCTACCAAGATCTAGTCAAGTAGTGTCTTTTCTGCCCTAGTACTCAAAACTATCCCTACGCCAGCTAATCCTCGTGAACTGGCTGTGGCATCTCCTGACACCCTCAAGGTGAATTTTTCAGATTCATCCTGTTGGCCAGGTGGGGTTAGGTGAATAACCACACTTGGGTCTTGTATGCGTGTTTCTGAAACACAACATACATCAATGGCTCGGGATGCCAGAGTCTTAGCTAGTGATGCTTGTTGTCCTATTTGGCAAAGTGTCCTAACATTAAATGCTCCTGTATGAAATTGGTGGCGTGGCTTTAGGAGACTATCGGTGGTGGTTTTTTGGCTTCCGTCGTTTTTAGTGGACACAGAGTGAAGAGGAAGTGAAGAGCTATCAAGTAGAGGAGTTGCATCAGTGGAAAGAAGGCAAGATAATAGAGATGAAGATGAAGACAAAGATGAGTGAGGATTAGAGAGGTTTCGTGTGCATTTCGGATTGTGAGGGCGATTGTTACTTCCCGGCTGCCCACACCGTGGAAGTTGGTTGCGTGACCGCAGAGCCCAGGGGACAACTGCTTGAGGCCGGTCACACGTGGCCTGTTTTTGTTTGTTCTTTATTGTTTGGTGTGCCTCAGTAGCATACTTATCACTCCTGCCCTGTGACACGGCAGCAGGAAGCGCGGTCGTTGTTAATCCGGGCCACGGCCGATCCGGCATGAAATTTTGTGGTTTTGTATTTATCATAATGTTGGCTTGGGTAGCTGCTTTTTGTTTAACCGCTATCCAGACAACCTGCCTGGCATGGTAGGACCTCAAGAGACATAAGTCTCAGCCAGTATAGCTTGTTGGGTCATTGCGGTGTTCAAGCCCGACCACCACGTCAAGGTAGCAGCTTTCGGTCGGGACTCAGGGTCCTGTCCAGGTCGGGGGTATAACAGCTTCATTGCTGTGTTTTTTATGTCCGTTCATTCGTAAGCACAAACATGCGCGGTTTAGGGCGTTATCGGGATTTAATGCATATGTTCCAGAAAGAGTGACGGTCTTCTACCGACCCTCGTCAACAATAGCTTGTCTCTCTGTGGTCTGTTTAAGTCCATCATTGATTTGATGATAAAGATGGCCAGGCCAGGCAATATGTCTTTGTTTTAAGTTAGTGCTGACCAGACACAGATGGTTATCTGAATAGAACTGTATAAGACGATAACGGTTGTTGGGTCGTCAGCAGGGAACTCTGTGGATGCCACCAACATCTCGGACTGATACAGCTTCGCGACTTTCTACCCTCCCTCTTCAGATTGGAGAGGCAGCATTGCTGGGATGTTGGTCGGAGGATAAAATCCCATTTTTAGAAATCTTCATCACGAGAAAACTAAAAACGCGTATTCACAATCTTCTTTATGGATCATAAACACAGTTACAACAGCGACAACTAAGGTCACAGAAATCATTGTGATTTTCAGAGGACCACTTCTCTATCTCTTAACATGTTGGTGTGACAACTTCGATAGCTGACCAAAATAATTTTAACAATACTCCTCCCTTCGTACTTAAAATTTTGTATCACTTCTGTTAAAAATTACGTGTTTACACTTGATATTCATTAGTTTCTTCACAAGCAGTTGTCTAAATTATGTGGAACTGCCGTACAGACTTTCCACAAATACCTGCCTACTATTTTACCCATTCAAATATGTGAAAGTTTTTTGTCATTGTATCTTACTTTTCTCAGGTTGCGTTAATGTGATATCTCATTTATGTCGTACTTGTTCATTTTAAATGGAGCAATTTAAAAACTCCAAGTTAGCCTAAGGCATACTGCAAACTAGTATTCTGTAGCTGATATATTCATATTTCGATGAAAAGTATTTTACTGCACTTCGTATTCAACTTGTATATATAGTTGAGAATTGGCTTCTAGGTTTCACTGAATGTATCTGATAAATGTGGACGCTTTTTTCATAACACTAACGCTTTGTTTTACGTAAAACAAAATATCGTGAATTCATATAATTATATGTGTACTGTTTCTGTAGAATGAAAGTGAGATTTTTGGTCGAACTATTCGAGTTAATGTCGCAAGACCGGTACGCATACGAGAAGGCTGGAGTCGACCTGGTAATGTTTTCTTCCTATGTGTTTCTATTCTTAAAACAGTTTTGAATTCAGGTTTTCGGTTTCTTGACTGAACGATAGGCAATAATTAATGTCATCCAGTCCTTTATTTGATTCACACTGAATTCTATCCGTCAATTTTGTGGTTTGGTCACCATGCTAGGTGGCTAGCCATCATGATGCACTTCACATTGTTGTTAGATGGTAGGTAACATTTGTTGCCATGTGACCTGACGCCTTTTTATTTAATGGCGTCGATGTACACTTCAACGATATCTTGAAATTGGATGAAACATACGCCTATTCAGTGCTGTTTAGTTGTTAGTGATTCTGTAACTGTTGTCGGCTGATAATGCAATACGTTTTAAAGTCGCTGCATAAAGTGATTTTTTGGTATGACTGCATTGTGCATCGATTTCACAGAACAAATTACAATGTGGGACTTATATCGTACTTAAACTGTTATATATTTTTGGTACCGTCTAAGTCTACACGAATGCTTTTACGTCAAAAACTTGGGTGCCAGTATGTCTTCTACTTCTTGAATCTCGATGCATTTTGGGACGTGGTAAGCAGTGAAACAGTTGTTCTAGGAGGTTGTAAACTATTGGGATACTTATAATACTTGAGGAGTTTTGTCCTACTGCTAATTAGTAGTCGATATTTGCAATCGCGCTCAATGTTTGTAAGTCACAAGTACCATCTGGCGTCCAAGTAAAAGTAAGCTACAGACTTGTCATTTTTGGTAACAATCTACCGGACTATCGATAAGTGGTGCTCGTATCTGAGTTCTTGTTATGATTACGATGAAGTTTATGTATTCGCTATTCTAAGTATGTATGTAAAATTTACCTTTGAAGTTTGGTCGGATGAAAACTGGTTAAAGAAGTATGGTAGTGCTCCATTAGAAGCTAGAAAACTGGAGGAGCCTGAATTCATCAACCCATCTGATTCAATTGAGAATAGTGACGATGTGGTAAGTTATTTTTAAGTAATTTTTTTTAGCTAAAAACTGCGATTTTTGGTGTGCTGTGTCAGTCTCCACTTTTTTCCGATTTGCACGTTGCGTCCATCCTTTCGCGAACTTAACTATGATTTTATCACTATGTAGCTGAATGCTTTTTCGAATATATATGTAGTCAGATGTATCCTTTTCATATATATGTACTAAGTAATGGCACTCAATTTCTGAGTTAATGGCTATGTTTCAGTGTCATTTGAACAATTTTCGGTTTTTCAGGCTTAATATTAGAAAGAACTTATGATTCAATATGTCAGTTGTCTTGTGAAGTATGATAACCATATGTATATTTTTTATTCATCGGAAAAATCCATGCTACGAATTGGTTAACGGGGATTCCACGGTTGTGGCTTGGACAGTTGTTACTTACACAGAAAGTGATGAAGATGAATGCCCACCGTTGACATTGACAGAAAGAAACTTTTTCCGAATATTAACGAACGTTGTGATTCGGTGGTTATTAGATTTCACCCTAAGGGTTAGAATGGTGATATGAAAGGTGTGAGTTCTATTTCTTGTAGGCCCCAAAATAAGATGATACAAAACTGTTTACTTAATTTTCATCTGAGCGGAAACAAGAAGTCCAACAGAGGTATCACCTCGACGACTTTTGTGACTGAATTCGTTTCCTGAAGACGTCTACACTGAAATTTCTAAGATCCCTAGAAATCCGAAGTTTCAACAAAGCAAGGAGAGCATATTGATCGGGATAAAACGCCACCATTATATTTCATTGATTTTAGCCAGCTGACATACATCCATAAACAATTCCATATCAATATACAAAATATTCAAGTACTTTCGATGAAGGCAAAAATAAGAAAGGGGACGTGGAATGTTAACAACGTGCAAGTCTGTTAATGTTGCCAAAGAAATGAGACATTGTATGGAAGTGCCAGGAATCTGTTGACAGCAGGAGGAGTGGATGTGCATTCTCCAAATTGTTGACTGGTGGGTTAGTAATCTACTCCAATCAGTCATACAACAGCCACGAGCACTCTGAGGGAGTGACTATCACGATATGACCAATAGCAGTGCGGACGAATCTCCACCCTGGTAATAACAGCAAGATTCAACTCAAAAGGAGGAAGGTTACAATAATCCAATACTACGCGCTTACAAACAACCCATAACAAGAGAAGAAGGATATTTCTGTTGACAACTGCAAACAGTGATGGATAAGAAACCAAATGACGATATCAAAATCCTAATGGGCGAAATGAATGTTAAACTGGAAGCGGAAAACGGGAAAACTTCTTCGGTCAAGAGGCTCTCGACGAAATGATTGAGAAGGGTGAACTCTTCGCAGACTTAGGCGCCTTCAGTGATTTGATATCTGAAGGCAGCGTATATAAGCATAAGGATATACACAAGGTGACATGGGTTTCTCCAAAACTCAGATAGTCTTCACCGCAGTCTGAAGAAAGTGGAGAGTCAGTCCGCTGGACACGAAGTCAAGAAAAGTAGCAGACCATCATCTAGTGCATGGAACGTTCACGGTAAAGCTGAAAGCCTGATTGGAAGAAAGGCTAGCTCGTCGAAATACGAAAGAAGGGTAGCTTATGGATTTACAAGAACTGGCACTGAATCAGGTCGGCAGAGGGACAAGATTTCAGGTGCATATAGAGAAGATGGAGGTAATGAAGACATCCAATGAGTAACAGCAGGCACCAGTTACTAACGCCTGGAGAAATTTAAAAGAAGTCAAAGATAGCATCGTTTCGAATACAGCCAGGACGGATGAATATGACAAAACCAGAATACGGAGGTGAACTCAGAAATTCATAAGTCTAAAATCAGTCTGCAAATTTTGTGCAATTAGCATAAAGAAAAAAGCTCGGTTATATAAAACTAATGGTAAGTCAGTTGTTCCTTACGGTTAAGAAAAAAGGCGAGTGACGAGAAGAATGTACAGTGAATAGCTGCCTACTTTCTGTATTGAGGATCACATGACCAGAAACGGTTGTCACCAAGGCACTCTGACAAGGAACCGACCAAGAGCCTATTACTCAATCAATACGACGAAGAAATTGGACGGATCAGACACATGTTAAGAAAACTGTAGTATGACATCACATGCAAGGTTCCGTAGTGGATCCGACAGTGGAATGAAAAGTTGGGCGTCCGCGGGTAACGTGGAGGATATCGTGTGAGGAGATGAAGGCTTATAGCCATTCGTCGAGCCAGATAAAGAGGACTGCAGAGAAAAGAGTGAAATGGAGATGTGCTGTTAAAGCCCTGTGTGTTTCACTCGGAACCCAAGGGAATAATAATTACATAATAATACTTTAGTTAGGGGTCATATAGATGAAGGATATGAATATCACGTCATTAAATAGCATAACGCGAAGGAATGTGTTGTTGTTAAGCTTGTTAGTATGTACAGAAGTAATTAGGAAATATTCTAGAATCACGAACGAATGTTACAGGTTGATTATGGGTGTGGAATTAACAACACACTGAGAGGTCAATTAATTTCGTTGAACAGAGATCTAAAAAGTAGTTCAGTCGAAGGTGGTAGGTGTATATTCTTGTGACAATTCTGCTGGCAAATATTTTGTAGTGATAGTAGGTCAAGAGGAATTTTCTGATAAGTACTTAAAATCACTAGTGGTTCTAGAAAACCTATCACTTTTGTGGATATTTTGGCACTGTGGTCGACTTATCACCACATCTGTTACCTACTTATCCAGTTACACTGAAAGCTTCGTAAACTGTCTTTTTCTCCATGTCCACATGGATTATATTCTTTGTCTTAGGTTTCTATTTCAATGATCATTGGGTTTGTTTCTGGTCTCAGCCCTTTTGTTACAGATGTAAACTATAATGGTATCTCATTTCTGTTAATACTAAAGCCAACAGTCTTAACTATTAAACAGTTCTTAAGTTAAAACAAGCCATAAAGGTTAATAAAGCAGGATTTAATGAATTTATCAAATTTCCGTAGAACTCATCAGCTGAATACTCTACATACACGGATATATATACTTTTGAGATTACATTGGGAGATATAAGACTGATAAGTAAACAAACTACATTGAATTAGTCATGCAGAAATACAGGTTCGAATGCTTTCCAATTCGATTTTTTTTGATTTTTGATTATAGCTTGAAACCACACAGTATTTTTGGTACAAGTATGGAATTTTCAGCATGTGATATCGGTAGCCCAAATTTTGCAGGTCAACCATAGATATCAAGCGTGCGTCGGCAGGGAGTCAAACCCCGAACCATGTGCATGGTCGGCGAGAGCCCTAATCGCTGTACCACCGACGCAGAGAGATCAAAATTAAGATAAATTGCATTACGCTTCAATTACATCACTTAGATAAACAATTAGTCATTAGAGAATATAACAAGAATTACAAACAGAGTAATATCAATAGTAATAGTTATTATAATAATAATAAGTGTTGAAGTGAGTTAAGATAATACTACTGATAAAGGATAGTTTTAAATGAATCAAGAATAAGAATAATAAGTAAAACGTATTACCGTAGTAGATTCAGATTCACGACCATCTCCTTTTGTGTACAGAAACCTGGTTTATAGTCTCGAATTGCACAAGTCTCTGCGATTGCAAGCATCTTCTTGTTTCTTTGTCTACTGACAATAGTGACAGCGTCGATATCATGTCCGTAGTTGTTATATACTCGTCGCTAAATTATTGCTATGTACTGGTCGAGAATTTAATAATCCTGACGCAAGAAAAGACGGAAATCAGAAGACCACTAGGTTTGCGATGATACTTCTATTTTCCACACACAAGGAGAAGCAATAAGTGGTATCACACCAAAGTAGGTAGAAAGTCACACAAATTGTGTGAGCGAAATATATATGACCATCCAGACAAGTGTGTGAACAAATCAATAGACAGTCTTAACATGAATGGCTAATTATAATGGAGTGTCGATCCAAATATACATAGCAAAATATAGCAGACATGTCAACAACCACCGTATATAGATATATGTCACCAAGCAACGGACTGTCAACAAACACTCATATTATATTATGTATAATATAAGGGGAATATACATTGTTAAGGAGACAGGTTCATCAAAGTGAAATAGTCACAGACTAAGCGAGCAAACAGAAAGAGAGATCACCATACACACACATATATATGTGGATACATATCAGTAGTCCACAAGATGCTTTGTTATTGAGGATTTTGACACTTGGCACTCAGCTGTTTTCAACCATTTTGGCAAATGCTCCATCATGCAAGTAGACAATCGCCTTTCTGTACGATCTATGTACTTGCTTCCACAAACACTCAGATTTATATATGCAGTCTTGAAGTGTCCAGGATTGGCGACTGATCTTTCTCAGATTGTTGAAGAACTCGCTTAGTAATGTTAAGGATAACAAGTTTTGCAGCACAATAAGTTCTCTCGATGGTTTTATCGAGTCTTCATTTGACTACTTCCTGTACGTCATCTCCTTTGAATGGAAAACTGATATAGACAGATTTCTTCGGAACTGTTTGGATTGTTTTGCAGGGACTAATTTCTTTAGAGTATTTATTAATGAACTTCTCAGGATATCCATTTTTAGAAAAAATTTCCTTCACAGATTTTATTTCATGCTCAATAGTGCCGTCAGAACAAATTTTTTTGTGCTCTATTGAACGGTGTCCTGACTAAGTTCTTTTTATACTGGATTGGAACAAAGCTCTTGAACTGCATGTACTGTCCTATCCATGAAGACTTTCCAAATATAGATCTTTCGATTGTGCCATCATTCATTTTGGCTAGAAAAACGTCTAGGAATTTAATAGTATCGTTTTCCTCGTGTTCTATTGTGAAATTGAGATTCGGATGGCATGAGTTGAATTTTACCAACATGTCTTCAGCTCCATTATGGATAAGATTTTATTCTGACATACCACACAATGTTATACAGTAATGTTAACTGATGACGTTTCGAGCACAAACTGTTGCTCATAATTATGTCATATCAGCTGGATATGATTATGAGCAATAATTTGTGCTCGAAGCGTCATCGGTTAATATTGCTGTATAACACTGTGTGATTTATCAAAATAAAATCTTATCTATAATAGAGTTATACTTTACTACAGTGCCCAAGTTTTATACTTGTTTTCAGCTTTTGAACTGCTTCCACAGACAATAAAAATGTCATCAACATATCTTAGGTATACATCCATTTCTTGTATAATGCAGGGTACCGGCTTCTAGGCCTGACAAGAATAAGTCCGCGAAAAGTGGTCCCAAAGGGCTTCCCATTGCGACACCATCAACTTGACGGAGTAGATGCCCGTCGGATTGGAATTGGACATTCTCAATACATAGAAGTAACAATTTCCTCAATTCCGATGTTGGAATGGGTCTGTCTTCAGCTTCTTTATATATGAAGTCAGTAGTCTCAACGTCTGGCACATTTGTGAAGAGGGAGGTAACATCAAAAGAGACCAGATGCTTATCAGGCACATTGAAATCTTTAATTTGCTTGACAAACTGAAAAGAAATCAGAAACTGTATACGTTTCTAAACGTTTTCGCAAGGGCTGTAACAATTCATGTAGCTACTGTGCTTTTTTGTGGTATGATGAGTTTACCATAGAGAGTATAGGTCTTAACGGCGCTCCTGGTTTGTTTATTTGTTTTGTTTGAAATTCGTATCGGGAAATAAGTGTTTTCAGTTCTTAATTTCATTAAACAACGCTTTCCACAAGTATTTGCTTTTTTGATGTGTAACTGACATATTTTTTGAGTTTATGCGCTATCATAAACATTTCAGCCTGCACGTATGTTTCACTCGTCACTTACTGAAGTAGTTCGAGATCAAACGTCTGGTGAGGATTGAACGAATGAATGAGACTTTTGTGTCATTCTGATTTATCGTAGACGATGAGGAATTGTGATCAGCGCGGGCACTATGGTATACACTAATATCCAATATGATTGCCTACTCTGGTTAGATTTAAATGTTCGAAACACCAAATTATCTTGCCACTTGATTCAAAGTTAACGTTGCAAGTAGTAAATCTAAACACTTTCCTTTCATGAAGTATAATAGTTCAAGTCTATTTGTCTCAGTTGAGATTCTCATCGTCTACCACTAAATGCTTTGATTCTAAGGATATTTAGTCAATTCAAATAAATACATTTTATTATGAGATACTTATATTATAGTGCTGTAATCTTCTATCTTCCACACTGTCAGGAACAAAATGATGAACAGGGCGAGGTGAAGAAACAAAGGCGAAACCTTCCTCGAGTATTTTTCGACATTCGTATCGGGACAGCTGATGCTGGTCGCATAGTAATGGAGCTTCGATCAGATATTGTACCAAGGACAGCTGAGAATTTTCGCGCTCTGTGCACAGGAGAACGGGGATTCGGATATCAAAATTCTCATTTTCATCGAGTCATACCTCAGTTTGTATCCTTCAAGTATCGTTTAAATATTTATATAGTTTAAACTCTCGCATTCATATTGTACAACATTTACTTTGGGGAGTAAGATAGGTCAATCTGAATTGACAGTTATTTAAGTTGGTTTAGGAAATACGTGGTTTTTTCGATCACTAGCGCAACAGTATGTGATATGTGTAGTTATAAAATACAGGTTCGATGGATAATAGATTTGATAGTGGGTTGTCCTTTTTAGCTGCAGAGTGTAAGTCTATCAGCGCACTTAATCATCCCCATGTAATAACATTCCATCCAAAAAGCTGTCTTTAAAAATCGTACTTACAGTCATTATATTTATTGCATAAACACTAGTATTCATCTAAGTATTAGACCTTAACCATGTAAATGTTAGATGTGTCAAGGTGGAGATTTTGTGAAAGGAGATGGCACTGGCGGCAAATCAATATATGGAAGGAAGTTCGATGATGAAAACTTCCAGCTTCGTCACGAAGGCTTTGGTAAGTAATTATGCCTGGTTACCCTAACATGCTACCATTCTTCAAATCCAATCAAACTGTTTTACTTTGTGGCACAAATGGTCTGGAACGAGTGGACAACACTGTAAATTAGAACATATGGTGTTTGCGTCCATTCGGCGAAACATTAATACCAGATACTATAGTGTTTGTCGTTTATAACCATAGAAATACGTAGTGTATTTTTTGTATCTCCTGCGAAAGTTCCTAATTTCGACCATAAAACGGTGAAAAATAACCTTGTAACCAGAAGGTCCTGGGTTCCGACCCCGGTGGGTGCGTACTGATAAGGAGTGCCAAATTGGGACGAAACAGCTGTCGAGTACTCCCAGGTTTTTCAGGGGTTCTCTGATATCAGCTCGTGATGAAATCCTCCATCCAATCAAACGAAATCCCTGCAAAACCAATACTTGAAAATAAACAAGTAATAAGAGGTTGGAACACATTAGGATGTTAAAGGAATCAGCCAATAGCAACAAACATCGTATGTTAATTACAACATATTGATGTAATTTTCGCAAAGTGGGTAGGTTGTAATGTTAAGTATGCCATCAGTGGTCCTTATAACTTCAACTGTTTGTATGCATCAGATTCATTTTCTACAATTTCACAATTGTGTATTTTTAAGTGGGATGGTGATTGAATCAGTCTGTGTGGAAAGATAGTCATAAAAACGTCGTTAGTGCGTGTTTGAAAACTCCTTTACAAGATAAGATGACTACATTTTTGGAAAGGCAATGAAACTTTTTTTTTTAATCCATTGGAAACTACTTTATTTTTGGGAATCCTCTTTCGCGACTATCTTCGTAATATCATTGTTAAGGTTTATCGCATTTGAATTCACATTCTTTCTTGTTATCCTGCCGCTTGATTTGATTTAGGTTTGAAAATCTAGTCTTGTAGTAAAACCTCGTAATTGTACAATCTTAAGGTTGTTTGTGTGTGTGGCAATTGCATATCACGATGTATTTATGTGACCATGAATAGTGTCAAACATGCATGGTTGATAATTATAGAGTGACTAAACAGGTTCAGCGTATTGTCCATACTAGGTGGTGATATTTGTGTAGTTGGTATCTGTAGTTACGCAGGTTTTCTAAAACGAAACCAATGATGCCCATAATAAATTCATGGCTACTTAGTAGTGGATGAAGAATATTTCTTCTATAATTTTTAAATCGGGTTCTACAGTCATATATGCATAATAGTTAAAGAATGAATGTTATTGAAATTATTGTTTTTAAATAGTATGTAATCATTAAAACTGAAATTCCAAAAGCCATATGTAAAAAGCCCGTTAATTGATTGCTGATTGTATGCATAGATATAACATTAACTTAGGGATAAAATTTCAAAAAGTAGATAATCATGAATAATAACGAAAATATATCAGTGAATGCTAGTGATTATTCTTTACTTTGAATTTTATTCAGTATCATTCTAAACCTCATATGAGTGAATGATAACATCAAAACCACGGAGAGAAAATGGGATAGTTTGTGTGTTTCCGTTTGTAAGTGAGCAGTCGACGATAAATTCAGCAATCCTTTTGAAATCTGGTGCTTAGTCTAGTGCTATATTCGTGCATATTACCATATACATGTCTTTTGAACTGTAATCTACTAACAATGTATTCACATACAGCTTTTGATTTCGATGAATCTAAGTTATTTAAAAACAATAATGTTGTCCATATCAATTATTCCTTAACTATTATGAACATATTACTGTAGAACATTGCGGAAGAGTTAACGAAAAGAATATTCTGTGTTCACTAATCGGTGTCCCGAAACCACTCATTTGAAGCAGCATTTGATTAGTTTCGGTAATGTCTGGTACTTGGCCATTTACAGTTATGAATGTGTTATCTTCGAATTCCAGGTGTACTTTCTATGGCTAACTCTGGACCGAATACGAATGGATCTCAATTCTTTATTTGCACGACAAAATGTGATTGGTAGGTATTTTGTTCGTAGATAGTGAATAAAGGGAATTTTTTGGATGATGCCTTTTTCCGTTTTGACCTATCAAGATTTCGTTCCACTCTGCTTTGACCCATTATTGTAGTTAATTATTTTCACAGCGGAACCAGAAAATGGGACGCTTTGAAGTGAGAACCTATCAGTACTCAGAATTCAGAATAGTTGTAAAAGTTTGTGTGTTGCGGGAGACAAAAGAGACTTGGAGGGAAATTAATGACGCGGATTGGTATGTTGTGTATTAAAAAAGCTGCTGGTAGGCGGAATATATAATAATCCTAGTAACTGCAGTCCTTATGTTGCGCGTCAAACAGCAGAAAGTAACTTGTTTACATAGGCCAAGATCTTATCACAGGCGGAAATTTAAAATCATGCATTCAAGATCAGAGGTAGTTAGTTGTTAAACGGAGGTAGCAGAAAAAGAAGGAAGGTGGCTAGGGTTAGTTTTTCAGCAAAAGGTTACAGTCGATTAGCTTATTGAGGAGATGACGGAGAGAAATTAATTACGTTGTGGGGGGAAAAACTGAAAGAACAAGTAATTTACGGATTATCTTGTGGTGTTTGTTTGATTGAATATGTGGATCAAGCGTCTAGATCACTCAAAGGAAGAGTGAACGGGTGGAAACGTCTAACTAAAGATGAACACGCAGGAAAACAAGTATACAATAATCTAGAGAAAACATCGTCTGTGGCTGCACTTGCGTTGGATGAAAAACAACATTTATTGAGACAGCATTTGTATTTTGAAATCCAATATGAACGAATGATAATAAAGGACTAAAAACAGAATCTACATTCATTAATAACACTCCAAACATATTCAACAAAAGTGACTCAGAACAACTGTCGACTACCTGTAATATGATTCTAGATACAAAAAATGAGTAAACTTATAGATATAGATATGCCAATTGAAAGCAATTTTAACGGTTGGTGTGATCACAGGCAGCAAGTTTGTTCCGATCATTCGATGGTATTGGGAAGTGTATTCCAACGGAGGGAACCGGAGATACATCATGGTGACAATATTGGACAAATAATATTGAAAAAGTATCATAAAAACTAATCGGCACAGACCGTGTAGATGGTGCATTTTCGAAAATGATGAAATTACGTTGTCTTGTCTGACTCACAGATGGACCATCGATGTTCATAAAGTTTGACAGACTGTTTAATTGCTCTGCAGTCACACTAAAAAGATAATTATGCCCACGTGGATGAAGACTTGTTATCTGTGTTGATCACCGTTACTTTCCCCTACCTCAGGTTTTTTGTTCAGTGAACTGCTTCTCTCCATTTTACTCTTAGCAAATAAAATGTGCTAATACTTTTCTGCCTTGAGGTTATACACCTTTAATCTCATGGATATGTGGTGGTTTGTGGTGACCGATCAAAATTCTCTCATAACTCTGAGTATATCATGTCATGCTTTATTTTTCGACAAGTCATTTGGGATTATTTCCACACTCAGCGTCAACATGCACACAAGTAAAAATCAAGATAAATTTAGTTTATCTTCGAATTCATACACGATAGTACAAAGAATAACGTCAGCTGTTTGGTTTTCTTCGGTGATGATCGTCTAAAATTACTATGCATGTCAACTGAGAATAAATATGGATGTAGGAACCTTCCTTTTTTTATTCCTTTACGTTCCCATGGGAAATACGGCTTCAAGCTAGAAGCTTGAATTTTCTGTAGCAGTGGGTTTTTATTTTACGGGATGGGATTGCCAACCTCTTGCCCAGGGCTCCTTCCTTACCAGTCTTATTACTGGTTTAGTAAGGTAAAGGAGTGCGTCGGCTGGGGATCGAACCCTTGATCACACAAGTTGGCGAGCATTCTACCGCTGTGCCACCGATGCACCTAGGAACCTACGTTAGATAAATGTTTTTATGACATGAGTTCAATGGTTGTTTCTTCTATGGTGGCTAACAAAATCTCCGTGAGCATGAAGTCCATTATACACAGTATGACGTAATTACTCAAAGTCCCTTATAAGTGTGGTACTATTAGGTAGCATTTGGAGGAACTGCCAATGTAAAGAGGCCACTTGCATTTATTTGTCAACTTGTGACTAAATGGCTTTCAAATTAGCTATTGGAGAACGGCCCTATATGCTATATGTTTTAAGTAACTGCATAACTACGTGACACTGAAGATGTTTTTATTGTTTAGTTGCGATTACTTTACTATTTACCCATAACTATGGCTGTATTTACTTACTTTGTAGGCTAGATGGGAAGCATGTTGTTTTCGGTCGAGTGATGGAGGGACAAAATGTTGTAAAGAAAATGGAGGTAAGTGACGTTAGACTTGTAATTCCTACTATTTTTTAATTTCAATGGGGAATAATAAATCCATTACTGCAGCTGTTCTTTTTGTACTGGTTGATTGAACCAGGACTAAGCCTAAACCGGTTTAGTTTCTCATAAACCAGCGTAATGGCAATTTCTATTAATTCTGTCAGGCAAGGATCCGATTATGCACTTTCTTTTTGTTATTTTAATAGCTCAATTTTGTCTTGGAAAAACTGCGTAGTATGTTGTCTTACATCATAGAGATACCTCAGTGGGCTTCTGTATAATTAATTACTTTTAGCTTTCATTTAGAACCCATTTATATCTTGCACGCACTTTTTTATTGAGCGCTGTGGTGCATGAACTGCCCCTTAGTTATATAGTAAGAAGTCATGTCTTGTGCCATGTGATATTTCTTGCTTTCATTTAGAACCTGGCCTTAGTGTAATTTCCCGTAAAGTGTGGAACTGCAAAGTGATGCCAGTGTAGAAGACGTAGTATTTGTAAAATGTCATATTTACATGTGGTTGAATTTGGTCATGATGGGGGTACTGTTATCGCTTTTGAGTGCCAGTCCTTAAAATTCGCTTTGCCACTAGGTCTGCAAATTGAAATGTTCAACAAAACGTCCTTGATCATTCTTCACTGCACCTTGCAAGGAAATAGATTACCTAATATGTATATGGTTTTTCAACTCCGTTATAGCGTCTTTTCGGTTAATGCGTTCAACTGGATGGAAGTAAATGGACATATCGGCTGGTAATATAAAGTTGAGGTCTTTCATATTGCTTCGCAACAGTAGAATCCTGTCACTGTCCTTTCTTATGAATATGTATGTATTTCTTCCTTAGAAAATATTATCTCGTCAGGCCTCACTGTTTATGCTTTCTGCACGTCGAAAACTCCTCATACTGTTTGCTTTCGTTTTCATTATATAGCCTCTTATCAGTTTCCGAGTGCTAGTGGTCCCTGCATATTAAATAAAAGACGAGTCGTTTTATTCCACTCATCTGTAACGACATTAAAACCCTTGAAGTTCTTGCGGAATGATTGTAACTCTTCGACCGAAATCTGTTAGTCGAGATCAAATCCCACTGCCATAAAGATTGCTTTCAGTTACTTGAGCACCGGTTAGTACCTCACCACCTCACGTCGTTGCACAACAGGTATATTTGAAAATATGTCTGTTATACTTTGATTGCAGATATTTTGCGTGGTGCATCTCACTTCCCCTACTGAGGCGAAAGTCTTCTGCTTTAGGGTTTCAAATATAATCTAATCTCTTACTGTTTAGTTATCTTTATATATATATATATATTTATATTTATATTTTAGTCTGTTGGCTCGAAATCAGGTAAAGTCAAGGAGCCTGTACTTATTTCACGGTGTGGAGAATTGGTTTGAATGTGCATTTCAGCTCAAACTGCTAGACTAGTCCAACAGATGTATGCAATATAGTTTTTATAATGTGATGATATTTCTTGCTTTCATCTAAAACCTGACCTTAGTGTAATTCCCTGTAAAGTGTGAAACTGCAAAGTTATGCCAGTGTAGAAGACGTAGTATTTGTAAAATGTCATATTTACATGTGGTTGAATTTGGTCATGATGGGGGGTACTGTTATCGCTTTTGAGGAATTGCTTCCGCGATATTCACAACAAAAGCCTATCTAATGAGTTGCAGTACTTTATGATAACAATCGATGAAGTTCAGTGACGTGGTCAACTAATACATAAGTCTAAGTGTTAATGTGATCATGTAAGAGCCTACTGATACGAAATTATAACACAAGAAGAGTAATTTACTTATCTGTTTATTATTCTTGTGTTGCGTTTAACACCACTATCTCGAAGGGAATCGTTAGATAATAAAGAGATAAATAGGATATACGTTGCGTAGTGTACTTGAAATGCCCAGACTATCAATACAAGTCGTGTACGCAAAGAACCTACGTTTCCTAGGTTATGTTTCGTTATTACAATACAAACACATGTTCCTTATCTTATCGACACTGAATATGTGAACAAGGGAGTGAATAATCACAGAGCTGGTGAAATTCTTTAGAATAGTCGTCCATAGATTTGAAGAATTATGGAACTTCCGAATCACCTGTCACACTCTCTCTACTGTAAAAGGTAAATATTACACAAGTGACGCTTACTCTAAACTATAGCAGCCCAAACCGAAACTAATTAGCGAACGGACAATGGACCTTGGCAACGACAACTTTGACCAATCAGAAGCCTCTATAAAAACGGCGCATGATTTTAATAAATCGTTTGTAGGCGAAGTACAAGAATAGCGTCCCAGGAGTGCGAACGTTCAAATGACCTTGAACGCATGCTAGCGGTTGGCTAACGGTCCCTGCCAATATATATATATATATATATATATATATATATATATATATATATATATATATAACAGTAATGCAATGTTAAAATATAGTTACAAATGATAACGTTCTCGTGTATATTCCAAAGAAATCTCCCAATTTCTCATACGAGTCTTGATACTTATGTTAAACCAAGCCCTGTACATAAACTCATCGAGATCATTGCATTTCTTGATACTTTTTTTGCGGTCACTCCAAAAGCTTTCGATGGAATTAGTGTGTATTCCATCGAAAGGATTGATGAAACCATTTGTATGGTTGACGTCTTGAGGAATATAGCCCAGATTTGATAACTGACTCCATTCCTCTGTATGTATAGTCATCCCAGGCAGCACTAAGCGCTGGATAATAGGTAACAATACATCTGCACTGCAATTAAGGATCGCCTCAATGTATACCTTGTGGAGGGTGGTGTCATATATGCCCAAAACCCACTGCTGATTTGCACTTAACCTCCCTCGATTATATTTTCTTTTTATCAACGCCGTCTCATCCACGTGAACAATGACGCCAAGTACCTGAGTCAGCCTGTTCAATTTCCATGATGATAGCTCTCTACAGTTCTGGTAACATTGCGCTGCAGATATTTCCGAATTTTCTGTTTCATATGCTGTTGCTGTTACTGGTTTTTTCAGTACCTAGCGTTGACACATTATTAAAATTTTCGTTAGAGGTAATTAAGACTGCGAAAAAAGTACCTTAGGAATCTGTAAATAAAAAAACGACATACCTTCTAGAACTGATTTTCTGGTTTGGCACTCATTGCACCTGTAAACAAACCCATCGATGCAACTAGTATATCTCTGTATATGCATGACACCTCCACATTGACAGTTTTTCGACCTTCCTATCAGTCGGTTCTCCAGACAGTAATCAAAAACAAGATCTGTAGCGAAATCGCAACGTAAAAGGTGTAGAGCATCCATAAATTACGTCTGGATAACACAGTCACCTGATTGGTTGTTTAAGGTCTTTTGTCCGTTCGATAGATAGCTTCGGTTTGGGCTGCTATAGTTTAAAGTCACCCAAGTGACTCTTATCCATTACAAACATCTGAAAGTGATCAAATCTTCAAACTTTATATTTCTTTGATTAAGTTACCCAGTAATATTCTTCTTGTAAGTGGATCCAATGTTTTCACATCGGTGAAATTCATACATATGCTAACTTGTTCCCTTAAAAAAAATATAATGTCTATCCTATTTGAGTATTGCTATTCCAAAGCCCACCTCAGCAGCGTACAACACGTATTAACCGTACTGTTTATGCAAAGGAAAATCTACCATTCACAGTGCGCGTAAGTGGCCTACAAGTGCTAAGCCTCTCCATATGCCGTTTGTGCCTCTATCCTCTGTCCACATTTTCGTACCATTCAGCCGATCATATTATACAAGTGTTGTTCAGTATGTTGGTGAAGGATTCTTCCATCCAGAGCACTTACATGTAGAAGCAGTTACCACCCTACCTACAGGTGTACAGAAGCAGTTCAATATATCATGGGGAGCAACGATTTCTGCCACAGCCGCAGTAGTTCGAACACTTACAGCCTTACCACTCCACGTTTATTCAGAGAAGAACCAGGCTAAGGTCACACGCGTCGCAATAGACTGTCACCTTAATCGTGATCTATTGAGGAAAAATGATAATCTTGAACCTTACTGTGATTTATATAAAAGAAAGCAAATATTCTTGGTAAACCAATTGGTAGGTTACGTATAGCAAGACAAGGTGTTTAGTTTAGGCGTGTTTTCATCAGGTGATGTGAGAAAAACGGATGCCATCCACTCAAATCTGCTGTTGTTGGTATATTCCAACTCCCGGTATGGCTTACGTTTACGTTTTTGCTCAGGTATCTGTGAGGATTCTACTCGTGTCTTCAGTTAGAAACAATTAAGTGATATTTTAGAATTTTTTGCTTTTTCCTGAAGCGATGGTACGACGTAAAAAGTAGAACAGTTATTAACCTGTGACATCCACTAACTTTAACGAATACTTAAGCAGCATAGCCTTCATCATTGGGGTAATATACGGCTCTAATATCAGTCAGCAATTTGTAGCATTCAAGATCTTGACGTCATGCGATATTTAAGAAGTGTGGAACATTCCTTTTATTGCGCAGTAACCGTGTCCTATACGGTGTGCATATGGTAGTGCGTCCATAGTAAAAGTATATCCTAATCAAGGAAACCGGAAACTTCAAGACTGGCGACTCTCTGTCGAAATTACCCATTACCCACCCTTTTCCATTACTTCAAATTGAACCAGGATGTGTAGCTGGTGTCGTCAATTTTTAAACAGTGGCGTGAGCAGTTTTCAGTTTGTTATATGCGTCATCGCTATTATGATTCAGCTTCAAAATACCCTGGCGAATGCGACCGAGAAGACTAAATGCGTTTGCCACTGAAGAGTGACGAGTTACTTAAACTTGAATTGGTTTCAGCAGTCTTACCCGTCCTGAATAATTGTAATCGGCATAGAACATTTCTGATACGCTATGAATTAGATAGAAACAACTTAAATGACCAACGTTTGCTGCTGGCAGTGTGACTGTCAGTAATGGTTCTGTTGGTCATTACGAGAAAAGAGGATATCTCTCCCTATGATAATAATCTTGTATATTATATAATCTTAAACCTCGCCAGGTTAACTAACTTGCTATTTTTCTAGCCTATCCCAAGCCCCGGTGAAGAGGGAGGGTCGGGCGTAGGGCCAGCAACCCTACTCCACAAAAGCTACCAAACTGCTAGAGAAACCTCAACACATACTAGTCAGTGACTAGTATAATGTGTCTAGTCCTATGTGCAGACTGAATTCTGTCAGTCAAGTTTGCAATGTGGCCACCATGCTAGGTGGCTCGCCATTACGGTGCACTGTGAATTGTTGGTATTAGATGGTTGGAGGCAATCTGCAGGAAGCCTTGGATCTAGGTTTCGTGCTAGTTGGCACTTATCAGCAAGGCGTATCTGTGGTGATAGACGTGTACAAATACAAGGACATACACAAAGCAATATGGATTTCGCCTAACGGACATACCACAAACCAGATGGATTTCATTTAAATGCTGCTCAAGGAAATGTAGACGCAGCCTGCTTGATACAAAGTCAGAAAAGTGAGTAGATTTGGGCTCAGACCATCATCTAGTTGAAAGTGAAGCTGAAATCCCTGAAAACAACTGGAGACAGACTACAATTCACGTTCAGCATTCAGAAACTGAAGGACGAAACCATGGAGGATACCTCCACTACAGACCAGATCAGAGCAAAGTCGGAGACGCTGCGTGTTTCCACCGAGGGAACCTCCGTGGATGAAAATTGGAACTCTCTGAAGGTGATATTCAAGGAAACATGTACAACTGGGAGGAAAAAGAGACGAGGCAAGGATTGGCTTGAAGGATACCTGGACGCTAATAGGAGAGGGGAGGATGGTGAAAGAGAAGATGACTCAATACAAAGATGAGCAACAGAAGGGGGAGCTGAGTTAAGTGTACACTACACTGAATAAAGAAGTGAAGAAGAGTGCTAGAAAAGACAATTATACGACACACTGGCAACTGAAGTAGAACACGTCACAGGTAAAAGAGACCTCAGGACATTATATCAGATAACTAGGTCTCTATCCGGGAAGAGATCAACCCAAATGATGAAACCAATAAAAGATGTTCGAGGGAACCCAATTAACAAAAAGGAGAAACAAATAAAGCAGTAGGCTGATCACCTAAAGGAATTCTTGAATCGACTATCACCTGTAACTCGGCCAGTAATACCGCCACCATCAACACCACGCACAGAACTGCCTGTCAGTGGACACAAATCCTCCAACGAAAGCAGAAGTCCTTAATGCGATCCAGCTACTCAAGTCCGGGAAGACAGCAGGCTCAAATGGAATTCCTTCTGAAGCATTGAAAACGGATCCATGGAGATTGTGCGAAGAGGAGATGAGAGAGTTTGGGTAATCGTGGACACGGCTGAAGATGATGGCAGAAAATAGAAGATAATGGAGATGTGTTGTTGAAACCATATGTTCCACTTGGTACGGCATGATTAAACAAATGTGTGTGCAGATAGATCAAGTATGCAAAGTCCAAGTAAGTAGTTCCATTAAGTAGTGCCAGATCTTGAAGCAAGTGGACAAGCTGCGCTTTGATGATAGTGCAGAGAGATTGCATATATATATATATATATATATATATATAAGAGGTGCATTAAAGTCTGATGATATCTAAATGAAAACAGGGCTGCTGGCTTCCAGTTATGTCAATGTGCAACAATCCGCGTGTATCATTTACTCTCTGGATAAGTGTGTAACTTATTCATGGTTCTTCAACATTGTCCGATGCCAATCAAACACTATGTAATGCTGCTTTGTTTCCCAATTTTATAGGGGCACTAACTAGTTGGTTTTAATCAGTTAATTTAATGTATGTTTCTCAACCTGAAGGGAAAGCTTGCATCTGCGCCGTCAGTGGACTGTTACTCCTATATTTCGTCTAGTTTCTCTGCTTTACTACTTAATTCCTGTTATTACATTCCTTTATCCTGTCTGATATAACTTAAGTTTTGCGTATAAGAAGGGTAAACTTTGCTCAGATATGCAGAATGACCTTATTTGCCCATCACCAAAAGAGTAGGTTGTGTAGAAATTACTGTTTATTACTTAATTTACTTCGTAGCCATTGTACAATACGATAACGACGACCAAATAAATACAACAGATCATTTCATGGACAATACCCTTCATTTGGTAGACTCCATATACCATATAATCTTCGTAAGTGAGGGTGCATTACAAATAGATGAGTGCATAAGTGGTGGGCTGAAGATGTACACCAATAAACTACGAGTGCCTGAAATGGTTAGCATGAACTCTATTTAGTCAGCTTACTTTTGGAACAAAGATGCAGCAAACAAAGAGTACCAAGTTTTCAAACCAAGCGCCAAGCCGTACAATTTTGTAGCGAATAAGATCCAGCATTACAGGACCAGATTCTTCCGAATTCATATGAATAACTCTTCTGAGAAATGCCAGTTCTACTTTTGCTAACCGACCAGAGTGCAATTAATTGGAAGCAGAAGACTCGTGCATGGAATATCAATCAACCGATTGTCAAGAGCCGCCAATGCAACTGCAGCGAAGGTTTTAAAATTCTCAAACTTGACTGGTTGCATATGCGTATCATTGGAAATGTTACATTTCAATTCAAAAGCACCTGCACGATAGTTTTTTGTCGCAGCTCTTTTATAACAGTAAATATCTTGTTCTTCATGGTGTTCACGTCATTTTGCAACTTTAAAGTATACCCGAATCCATCCTTTACCCTTCAAATTTTTGAATCGTTAGCAAAGGCTAATACAAAGAAGCTCCATGATTCGAAAAGTCTTTCTAGGATCGAAAGTAACGTCTCTAGGATAACTCATCGCTACACTCAAGCTGAGGTAATTTCCTGTACCAACGTAGGCATTAGCTTGGCCCGAAAGTTATGAGTTCTTCAACGTCAAACGAAATCTGTATTAACGTAGGTATTATAAAGAGTAGTAGTACCGCCCGATTTTTCTCGGTGTTGTAAAGACCTCTCCTCCATTTATATACTTGAATGCTGAGTGGTGAGTAAGGTGTTTACACTCATTAGGCAGCTGTGGCTTATGTTGTTAGTGCCAAAGCAGATTAGTGAGTAAGCCTCATAGACACCCTCCACACAGTTTGAGAATTATTGGTCCTCAATCAGCTCATGTTGATGCTTATTCTGGAAGGGTTCTCCTAATCATTCAATACTCAATATATAATACCGCGCGGAAGGGTCATTTGGCATCTGATAACCATTCGCTCCCTTTTATTCAGCTGACTGACAAGTGAATTACAGAAGGCCGGAGTTGTTAAGATGATCTTCATCACGGTCTTTAGTAATACAATCCCAGTCTGATGCACATTCAATGCACCATAGTGAGTATGTATTTCAAGGGTTACCTAACCAACTTCACATCGAATGTTTTTCTTTGAAATGATATATAACAGCAAATGGAATTATACCCATGTAATGTCATACACGACTACTTTAGAGGAATTAATCGCCGTAATTGTGGCCTATCTTTAAACTCAGGTGCCGATTATTAATGAACGATGCCAACCAAAATCCTAGGATTATTGACACAGATGTTGATGCTTCTAAGAGATCAATCGAAGTTGCGTTAGGGGTAAGCCTCCAGATATTGAGGATCCTATCCTCAAAGGATATCCTTTCACTTCCAGTCGCTTTATAGAGCTTCACATTCTATAGTCCCATTCACATCAGTTTCTCAGTCTCTGGAAAAGGCTTATTACATGAACACAATCAGAGTACTGACAGTCCATTTGGATTCCTGAACATTACCCCATAAGAAGCATAAATCCACAGAGAAAATATTCCATCACATGAGAGAAACAGAGAAAAATCAGAGAACCTCCACGATATATATACACCCAGTGAAATAGCACCACTAGCTGAGGCACCAGGATATACAGCCGTTGGATAGATATATTCAGTTGCACTGGTCGAACGGATTAAAGCTTGTCGTTTTGCTGGTGGTTCACCACTGCTGCTACCACTTCCACCTCTTGTTCCTCCGATAGCCTCACTTCCACGGTGTCTACTGCTACTCCCACTACTCGAACAACCACCAACACTTCTACTACTACTCACGCCATGATACTTATTCAAATCATGATGTAGAGTATTATGGAAAGATTTATGCTCATGATGTCTACTACCGACAAGGTTACTACTACTGGAGGGAGTAGTAGAACTGCTGCCATTGTTTGTGGTGACGTTACCACCGTCAAACTGATCGTCATTAGTAGCTCCATCAGCGGGGTATAAATCCAGAATTTTATGACAAATATCCTCCATAACTTCAGTACTCATTCCTTCAACAAAACATTCCCACCAACGCTGACCTGGTTGACGTCCTTCCCAATCTTCTATAACAAATTTACTCATACGTGTAGCTAAATATAGAACAGCACAAGCGACGATTTCAGGTTCCCATTGTAAGCATAAAGTTGTTGCTAAACTGTCATTAATAAATGACCATGACATTTGAACTAATTCCTTTAATTTTTCTTGATTACCTTTTATTCGTTTAGCATATTGTAGTAAGTATGAATATGGATGTGAGACGTGTAAGTCAAATTTGATTGTTTTTAACAAAACACGTTCATAGGCCATAACTTCTTCCCTTGGATCATTTCCAAATTGTCTAAAATCTTCATCTGATAATAGTGATCTAGCTGTTTTAACAATATCACGAACTTTTTTCAGTGTCTCTTCCACTTTACCAGCTAACATTAAACAACAAGCTGCTGTGACATAACGTGGAAATGCTTTAAACGAATGAAACATATAGAAACGATGAAAGAATACGATAGCTGTAGCACATGTATCATAGCGTAGATTTAATTTGGTAATAACAGCTGAGAGAAAAATCTTGCACCTTCACGACGATGTCGTGTCTCTGTTTCATGATCAATATTATCATAATAGGATGGTGTTTTATATAATTCTTCTTTTTCATAATACCAACATGGCATTTGATGCTATTTGAAAGAGAAGAGAAGAACAGGACGAAGGAAAATAGAGAAGGATTATTTGCCTTATTCAGTAGACAGATTTACCTACTTGATCGTCCATGATGATGACGACAGTGATGATGATGAAAATAATTATTATTCCAGTTAAATATACAATCAGGACAAAAGAGAATGAACAAAATGATTGGCTTGTGGTTAAGTAGCGCACATAATAAATGGCGCAATACCGTAGAGGCTATATATATATATATATATATATATACATATACATATATATATACATATACATATATATATACATATTTGCGCCTGACATTTAAGTAAACCTAATGCTACAGACAGGTGTGAGAATGAAATACCATTAAATAAAGGATCTTTTCCTAGTAAACTCAACAATGAAGTGTCACGGCCACCATATTTATAAAAAATAGGATGATATACCGTCAGTACTAAAATCTTTCGAGCATTTGAAGGTTCTAATAGTTTGGTTAATGTTAGCACAAGTGAATTGAACAGAACTAATTTGTTTTGGTGTGGGTAGAGAAGGAGTTTGTGCCATATAAGTAGCAGGGGTATACCGAGACACGGGACTGTAAGCTCAAGGTAGTGAGCTGCAAATGTTTTTTGAATAATTCACACATGACTGCAGAATCAGTGCATAGACTACTTTTGTATATGAGGACAGAAATACAGTGATTTTTGCGATTGAATCGCTTTTTTGAGATTTCTGTGAGAGCATACACCTAGAACGACTGACTAGCGCGGTGTGTTCTTCGTTTATCATACGGAAAACTTGAGCTCGTGAGAGAAAACTGAGGGTGTTAAGTAAAAAACGAAGTGCTACAATCCCTCCCCATAACACGGATATATTCTTACCGATTTCTGGAGTATTGTAGTGGATATTATACTACTCCTCAAATATAGCTTATATTGGCTGCTACCCCAGCTTCCAATTATCCGGATATATCACCGCCAGTTATGGATTCACTTTTCACAGGGCTCATCCCACTCTTTGAAACTAAAGAAGAATCTAGCACAAAGTGAAACTCCAGAGAAGTTCATTATTTTGCGGTTTATAAATCAGGATCACTTTTCAGGATAATTGGTTTATACATAGTCTGTATTTCACGGTTTAATACTTTTGTCTACTCATTATTTACTCATAAACAATAAAATTCCATACCGTGCCTCTAGTAGTTCTTAGTCTGTATATCCACTCGATATACTATTTGTGCATATACCTGTTTTCCTTTTCGCTCACATTCTACATGAAACCATACTGATCAGTGTGCAACAACGGCACAACGTAATAAACGAATAATTTCTATACGTAAGAATAGCCTAGGTCACTCGGCTAAGAAGATACGTACATCACTACACGTTCCACGCAGCCCCAACAATATCCCCGAAGTCACTATGCCCAACTTGCTATCAAAGATATACGCAACTGCTAACCAAAACAAGTTAGGCCTTATTTCTCTACGAAATTCTGTGAAGGAATTCAATGAGAAAATAAATACCATTAAACCATTACTGCTTTTTTTAAACCCAACTCACGTTATCAATCCGGAAAGTCTGAGCGCATGTTAGACTTTATAGCGGATGAAGTGACTATACGAATCATGTCTTCCTACAACGTTCTCTCATACAATCTGCCTGATCGGATGTCGGTAGACAAAATCAAAGTGACATTTCTCCAGGCGTGCGGCATGCCATCAGCAAATGGCCATCTGATCAGGCTTAGAAAAGATCTGCAAAGTATACTTGTCCTGTGCTGTTTAAGTTCAGTAGTCCTAATGACACTAGGAAAGTCCAGTCGTCTAACAAGCTGACTAGTTCATCTACATTTTGTGGTGACGCCAAACTTGGTCATGACCAAACACCATGTAAAAGACGAGGCCGTGCAAGTGTATCAAGTGTCGCAAATATCTACCTAACTGCAGGACGTCCTACAAAAGATTCGCTCGCCTTACATTTTAGCAAACCTAATGCTACAGACAGGCGTGAGTCTGAAATACCATTAAATAAAGGATCTTTTCCTAGTAAACTCAACAATGAAGTGTCACGGCCACCATATTTATAAAAAATAGGATGATATACCGTCAGTACTAAAATCTTTCGAGCATTTGAAGGTTCTAATAGTTTGGTTAATGTTAGCACAAGTGAATTGAACAGAACTAATTTGTTTTGGTGTGGGTAGAGAAGGAGTTTGTGCCATATAAGTAGCAGGGGGTATACCGAGACACGGGACTGTAAGCTCAAGGTAGTGAGCTGCAAATGTTTGTTGAATAATTCACACATGACTGCAGAATCAGTGCATAGACTACTTTTGTATATGAGGACAGAAATACAGTGATTTTTGCGATTGAATCGCTTCTTTGAGATTTCTGTGAGAGCATACACCTAGAACGACTGACTAGCGCGGTGTGTTCTTCGTTTATCATACGGAAAACTTGAGCTCGTGAGAGAAAACTGAGGGTGTTAAGTAAAAAACGAAGTGCTACAATCCCTCCCCATAACACGGATATATTCTTACCGATTTCTGGAGTATTGTAGTGGATATTATACTACTCCTCAAATATAGCTTATATTGGCTGCTACCCCAGCTTCCAATTATCCGGATATATCACCGCCAGTTATGGATTCACTTTTCACAGGGCTCATCCCACTCTTTGAAACTAAAGAAGAATCTAGCACAAAGTGAAACTCCAGAGAAGTTCATTATTTTGCGGTTTATAAATCAGGATCACTTTTCAGGATAATTGGTTTATACATAGTCTGTATTTCACGGTTTAATACTTTTGTCTACTCATTATTTACTCATAAACAATAAAATTCCATACCGTGCCTCTAGTAGTTCTTAGTCTGTATATCCACTCGATATACTATTTGTGCATATACCTGTTTTCCTTTTCGCTCACATTCTACATGAAACCATACTGATCAGTGTGCAACAACGGCACAACGTAATAAACGAATAATTTCTATACGTAAGAATAGCCTAGGTCACTCGGCTAAGAAGATACGTACATCACTACACGTTCCACGCAGCCCCAACAATATCCCCGAAGTCACTATGCCCAACTTGCTATCAAAGATATACGCAACTGCTAACCAAAACAAGTTAGGCCTTATTTCTCTACGAAATTCTGTGAAGGAATTCAATGAGAAAATAAATACCATTAAACCATTACTGCTTCTTTTAAACCCAACTCACGTTATCAATCCGGAAAGTCTGAGCGCATGTTAGACTTTATAGCGGATGAAGTGACTATACGAATCATGTCTTCCTACAACGTTCTCTCATACAATCTGCCTGATCGGATGTCGGTAGACAAAATCAAAGTGACATTTCTCCAGGCGTGCGGCATGCCATCAGCAAATGGCCATCTGATCAGGCTTAGAAAAGATCTGCAAAGTATACTTGTCCTGTGCTGTTTAAGTTCAGTAGTCCTAATGACACTAGGAAAGTCCAGTCGTCTAACAAGCTGACTAGTTCATCTACATTTTGTGGTGACGCCAAACTTGGTCATGACCAAACACCATGTAAAAGACGAGGCCGTGCAAGTGTATCAAGTGTCGCAAATATCTACCTAACTGCAGGACGTCCTACAAAAGATTCGCTCGCCTTACATTTTAGCAAACCTAATGCTACAGACAGGCGTGAGTCTGAAATACCATTAAATAAAGGATCTTTTCCTAGTAAACTCAACAATGAAGTGTCACGGCCACCATATTTATAAAAAATAGGATGATATACCGTCAGTACTAAAATCTTTCGAGCATTTGAAGGTTCTAATAGTTTGGTTAATGTTAGCACAAGTGAATTGAACAGAACTAATTTGTTTTGGTGTGGGTAGAGAAGGAGTTTGTGCCATATAAGTAGCAGGGGGTATACCGAGACACGGGACTGTAAGCTCAAGGTAGTGAGCTGCAAATGTTTGTTGAATAATTCACACATGACTGCAGAATCAGTGCATAGACTACTTTTGTATATGAGGACAGAAATACAGTGATTTTTGCGATTGAATCGCTTCTTTGAGATCTCTGTGAGAGCATACACCTAGAACGACTGACTAGCGCGGTGTGTTCTTCGTTTATCATACGGAAAACTTGAGCTCGTGAGAGAAAACTGAGGGTGTTAAGTAAAAAACGAAGTGCTACAATCCCTCCCCATAACACGGATATATTCTTACCGATTTCTGGAGTATTGTAGTGGATATTATACTACTCCTCAAATATAGCTTATATTGGCTGCTACCCCAGCTTCCAATTATCCGGATATATCACCGCCAGTTATGGATTCACTTTTCACAGGGCTCATCCCACTCTTTGAAACTAAAGAAGAATCTAGCACAAAGTGAAACTCCAGAGAAGTTCATTATTTTGCGGTTTATAAATCAGGATCACTTTTCAGGATAATTGGTTTATACATAGTCTGTATTTCACGGTTTAATACTTTTGTCTACTCATTATTTACTCATAAACAATAAAATTCCATACCGTGCCTCTAGTAGTTCTTAGTCTGTATATCCACTCGATATACTATTTGTGCATATACCTGTTTTCCTTTTCGCTCACATTCTACATGAAACCATACTGATCAGTGTGCAACAACGGCACAACGTAATAAACGAATAATTTCTATACGTAAGAATAGCCTAGGTCACTCGGCTAAGAAGATACGTACATCACTACACGTTCCACGCAGCCCCAACAATATCCCCGAAGTCACTATGCCCAACTTGCTATCAAAGATATACGCAACTGCTAACCAAAACAAGTTAGGCCTTATTTCTCTACGAAATTCTG